AAGAGAGAGGGAGAGTCAGAAACAGATATTCCACCTGCTGGTTCACTCCCAAAATGACCACAACATCCAGGGCTGGGCCAGCTGAAGCCAGGCACCTAGAACTCCATCCAGGTACCCACGTCGGGGGCAGGGGCCCAGGCACTTAAGCTGTTATCCAGGTTCATGGGCAGAAGGTGGACTGGAAGTGGAGCAGCCAGGGCTCGAATCTGTGCTCACATGGGATGCCAGACTTCCAAGCAGCAGCTTATCACACTGTGCCACAACCCAGCCCCCATCACGTACTCATAGCACGTCCATGAATACTTGCATCAGTGAACAGGTACTCCCAAAATTGAAAAGTAGGTGCTGGTGTTTAGAGTAGCGGTTAAGACTCCATTCAGGAGGCCTGCAACCTTATTTGCAGAGCCTGGGTTCAAGTCCTGGCTCTGCTGCAGGTTCCCGCTTCCTGCTAATATGTACCCTGGGAAACAACACAGGATGGTTTAAGCACTTGGGTCTCTGCCACCCATGTGAGAGACCTGGATGGATTTCCTGGCTCTTGGCTTTAGTCTGGCCCAGCTCTGGCTGTTGAGGGCATTTAGAGAGTTAATCAGCAAATAGAAAATCTCTCTCTCTCTCTGCCTCCCGCCACCGTACTTTCCCTTGCCTCTCCAACAAAAACATACACATAAAAATTTTTAAAAAATTATTTGTGATTTTATATTGCTAGGAAAATTATATGGTTTTTAATTATAGCATTGAAAATAAATTGGCTTTACGTTTTATGGATTTACATAAAAGGGAGTCAGAAAAATCTCATGATCACCATGCCACAATGCCGTCCCCCATAAAATCCACTTTTTTAAGCATCCTCAAGACAACCTGAAGGAATCAGGCACTTAAAGAAGGTGCTGACTACTGTTTGAAGTTCAGTGGTCAGTGGTCAGTGGGGATTTATTTATTATTTAATTATTTTATTTAAGTAATTAATTTATTATTTATTTATTCTGTGAACCAAGCAAGATGTGGACACCGGACATGGACTCTGAGGTCCCCTCCTACATGCATTTCCACACCCAGAGATATAGCAGCACCAGCCAAGCCCACATCATCTCTCCCCCAATAGCCTACGTCTAGGTTCCCCTTGTGCAAGACAGGGACACTGTCCACCTTTCGGGGACCTGAGGAGGTGTTGGGAAGAATTGAGTTTACACCAGCTCACTTTTGCTGCAAACATTTGCCCAGTTGCCATGAGTTTGAGCTTTGGTTTTGTGTGTCCTGCTCCCACCTGACAAGGTTTTGTTGTTGTTGTTTTAATGAATCAGACAAGTTCTCCTTGGTGGGTAGGTGGGCAGCAGTGAGATTTAGAAGGCAGGCACCTTTTGGTTCAAATACCAGCTGTGTGCCCAAAATTCTAAGACTCAAGGCAGCTCAGCTCCTAAGCCTCTGAGAGGCGGATCCTGCTTCAAGACAGGTGCAGTGCTCAAGGCTTCGATTCCCCTTTTGGCCTTTCCTCTAGGGTGGGTAGGTGCAAAAAATGCCCGTCACCGCAAGGAGTCAGCCGTGCAAACTCTGACAGATTGGCCGAAGCTCAGGCCAAGTGAGGAGAATGCAAGGGGTGAGGCATCTGTGTTCCCTCTCCCTCTTCACTGCTTTTATAAATCTTCACCGTGTGGCACTTTCCTTTTCCCAGGATTTTCAATTCTGGGGCTCTTTTCTGGCCATTGCAGCTTACTCATGGATACGGTAAATGGATGTTGAAGGTTGACCAGATGCCTGATGCTTTCACTTAGTGGAGGAAATTATTGTGAGGTTTACCAGTTGTCCACTAACCTGCGGGCAGGAGTGGTGTTGTGTTTGCTTCTGGAAATGGAAAGGTAAACATGTTCATTGTGTGCCTGGAAGCTCTGGGGATAATAGAAAGGCTGCACCACTTTATTTGAGAACACAAGGAATGAATTGCATGCCTTGCTGAGGCGAAAAGGCGCGTTGGGTATTCTGAGTATCAGATCTTTCTTTTAGGATTGGAATATGGAGTGGACGTGGAGGAAATACTTTCAAGATGTTGTTTAAAAGATTCATAAGACCAGCTCCTCAGCACCTGCTTGATTTCTATCTCCGTGGGATAAGAGCATCTGTTGTTTCCCAGAGACCATAACCCAGACATCCCCCATCCAGAATCCAAGAGGAGTTCTGAAAATACAGACAGAAGCAGGGGAAGAAGATAGAGGAGCTCTTCCCAAGAGTTTCAAAATATTTCCAGGTGTGAGAGACTGAAAGAACAATTTTCTGGGGCAGCTGTTGTAGCTCAGTCACTGGCATTCCCTATGAGTGCTGGTTCGAGTCCTGGCTGCTCCATTTCAGATGCTAATGTGCCCAGGACAGCAGCAGAAAATGGCCCAAGTGCTTGAGTCCCTGCCATCTAGGTGGGGGATGGGGGTCCCAGAAGGAGTTCTGGACTCTGGGCATCAGCCTGGCATCAGCCTGCCCAGCCCTGGCAGTCATGGCCATTCAGGGGGTGAACCAGCAGATTGTGGAAGTTTCTCTCTCTCTCTCTCTCTCCCTCTACCACTTTACTTTTAAAATAAATAAATAATTTTTTTAAAAAAAGAGCAATTTTCTTCCTTGAGGATTTCCAGCCATCTCAGTGTGAAAGGCAGGGGCCTTGCTCTGCATTCCTCATTCCCACTGGACTCCAGTCTACATCAGATACAGAGACAGGGCCTTCTCGGCCCATGCGACAACCAGCAGGGGTGAATGGGCAGGACATTTGCAGTCACAGCTGGGTTTCTGGCTGTGCCTGACTCTTACTTAGAAGCATACTCTCCCTGGGCTTCAATTTCCTCATTTGTATAAGGGGGCTGGCAGTATCTATTCCAAATAGCCAGCATGATAAACTGTGAGAAGGAACTGCAGCAAATCCATGGGTGGTTAGCTCTAGGAGGCCAGCTCTCTTGTCAGCCTTGGCACTCTGTGCAGTGCCAGGCATGTAGCAGGTGCACGATAATAATCATGGGATGAATGAATCGTATGAATTCTTCCCCATTGGCCATCACAGTCCCTGCCTGTGAAATGCCCCTTTCCCTGTCAAAGAAGCACTATGTGGCATTATCATCAGGAAGAGCCAGACCAGGGTCTCGGTTTCTAGGTTCATGGGTTCCATGTTGCACCAGTGGAAATGGAAATGGATACAACCACTTTGAAGAACAATCTAGAAAATGGTTCTAGCCAAGTTGAAAATGCACGCATATCCTGAGATGCAGCAATTTCTTTTTTAAATTTAAAAAGATTTATTTATTTATTTGAAAGCCAGAGTTACAGAGAGACAGAGGCAGAGAAAGGGAGAGAGAGAGGTCTTCCATCTGCCGATTCACTCCCCAGATGGCCACAACGGCTGGATCTGTGCTTATCTGAAGCCAGGAACTAGGGGCTTCTTCCAAGTTTCCCACAAAGGGGTCCAGGGGCCCAAGGACTTGGACCATCTTCTACTGCTTTCCCAGGCCATAGCTGAGAGCTGGATCAGAAGTGGAGCAGCTGGGACTTGAACCATTGCCCATATGGGATGCTGGCACTGCAGGCAGCAGCTTTACCTGTTATACCACAGTGCCGGCCACAAGATGCAGCAATTTCATTCCCAGTCCATACCCCCAAGAATATTATGGTCACAGGTACAGAAATGGAAAACAACCTCGAAGTGAGGTAACTGGAGAATTAACATATGAGGAAGCACCACGAAGTTCATAGAAAACACTATGTCATGGAAGAACTATCCATGGATTTCCATGGATGCTTTTTGCACCAAAGTAAGCTTGTCATTCCATTCTGCTTCCCAAAACGTCTTGATGTAACCTCATATTCTATATACTCTTTTTAAAAAATATTTATTTGAAAGAGAGAGACACAGAGAATGAAAAACAGACCACTCACCTATTGATTCACTTCCCAAAATGCCCGCAACCATCAGTGTTGGATCAGGTTGAAGCCAGGAGCTCAGAATGCTGTCCATGTCGCCCAGGTGGGGTGCAAGGACCCAAGTACTTGAGCAACAATCTGACACCTTCTAGAGTGTAAATTAGCAGGAAGCTGGAATGGATTCTGGAACGTGAATCCAGGGACTGTGATATGGGATGTGGACTTCCCAAGCAGTGTCTCTCTTTTTTTTTTTTTTTTTGGACAGGCAGAGTGGACAGAGAGAGAGAGACAGAGAGAAAGGTCTTCCTTTTGCCATTGGTTCACCCTCCAATGGCCGCCGTGGCCGGCGCACCGTGCTGATCCGATGGCAGGAGCCAGGTGCTTCTCCTGGTCTCCCATGTGGGTGCAGGGCCCAAGCACTTGGGCCATCCTCCACTGCACTCCCTGGCCACAGCAGAGACCTGGCCTGGAAGAGGGGCAACCGGGACAGAATCCGGCGCCTCGACCGGGACTAGAACCGGTGTGCCGGCGCCGCAAGGCGGAGGATTAGCCTAGTGAGCCGCGGTGCCGGCTAGCAGTGTCTTCATTGCTATGCCAAACAAGTGTCCCCTGGAATATTCTTATATGATATTTAGATGTCAGCATATGTGATTCTCAAGTACATCATTTTGAGCAAAAGAAGTTCCTTTTGCGAAAGAATGCACATTGATTAGACTATGGTTGTATACGTATAGCTTAACATACACATGACAGTAACATGCAGAGGGTGCAAACATACATGATGGAAGCAAGGAAAATGCAAGGCAGGATGGATATGACAGGCAGAAAATGTCACCTCTGAGGCAAGGAAGTAGGTAGAAATCAGACAAGACAATGCAGGCGAATTTCCTAGGGCGAAGTATAAGGGTGTTTAATGTCTTTTTTTAATTGCATTTTATTTATTCGTTTTTTGTTTACCTTTTAAGTGCATATATTTATCAATAAATATTAAATATACCTAATATAAATATATTTATGCATGATTTGAATCTTTTAAATATTTATATAAGTGAATGATTATTATTTCATAATGATCAGGCATCCTATGTTGGCCAAATATTTTCATTTTAATTAAATTTTTTTTTTTACTTTTTCTTTCCTAAGTACAACTTTAGGAACATAGGGATGAAGGCAGAGTTACAGACAGAGAGACGTCTTCCTTCTGCTGATTCGCTTCCTAAATACAGCACAGCTGGGGTTGGACCAGGTGGAAGCCGGGAACTCTATCCAGGTCTCTCTCGTGCATAGCAGGGACCAAGCATTTTGGCCATCTTCTTCTGCCTTTCCCAGATGCGCTAGCGGGAACCTGGATCAGAAGCAGAGAAGCCGGGACTTGAACTGGTGCTCTGATGTGGGATGCCAGCATTGTCCAGCTCAACCCGCTGGACCCGAACACTCGCCCCTGTGGAATGTTCCAAAGGTGGTAGGTATGATGTCTGATGAGTATAAATTTCATATATATGTGAAGAATTTTATTATGGAAGAACTACAGGAATCCTACAGAACTCAACCTTTTGCCCCATTTTAAAGAAAAACAGCCCAGGGCCAAGAGAAGTGAAATACTTTTGCCTTAGGGGAGCATGATGAGCTGGTGACTCCAGGTTTTCCAGGCTGTGAGCTGAAGGTTCTCCCTCTTCTCTTTCTAATTGCTTTAGGCCCAGTTCCTTTAACCTTCTTATAGGAAGGAAACTGAACACAGGTGTGAGCAGGAGCATCGGAAATGTTGAGACGTGTGGCAGGTGAACCACTCACCCAGGAGATGTGGAGAAAGGGAGAGAGGTCTCAGTGAAGTCAGGTGGACAGAATGTTCTGAATTTGTAGACACAGTTTCTTCAACATTCTGCTCTCCTCCTTGGAAAGTCCACTGGGCACTCCCTGGAAGGGCAATGTTGATTTGCTCACATTTTTATGCTACTGCTTATAAGCGGGAACCACACGGGGCACATCTGAGGTTCACCATCAAGGCGTTCAGATGGGCAGGGCGTTTTAAAGGTTTATGCTCCCCAAGTAGGAGAATTCACAAAGATTTCAGGATTCCCTGAAACTAGCAGCCTCATGACAACAGGCTTATTAACAAACCCAAGAAGCCCCTGGAGGTATTATTTCACATATAGAAAATCAGACAAAAATGGCACCCTGAATAAATGTTGTATCAGTGCCACCTAACATATCTTGCATCAATATTCAATGAATTTCCACTTGACACTCCACGTTCTGCCTCCCACTAAGTCCCAGTGCAGATCTGATTCGATTTCAATGTCAACGCACTGACTGTCACTGCAGGTCTAGTGACAGGTTCATGGGATTCATTTTTTGTAAAATCCCAAGGAAATTCTCATGGGTTTTCAGTTGGTAATTAACACTCTTTTCCCTTAGTAATAGCAACCAAAATACATTGCCTTGAAGTTAATACTTTCTCCAAATTCTCATAGATCTTACCAGGTAATGTCATCCAAATTTATCATCAGTGAAATTTTGTTAACAGCTTCCTAGCAGCCTAGTTCCAGGAGTTAACATGAACTAACATAACGAACCCTGGATTTTCAAAGCACACTTGACTGTACCGGGTTTACCCTAGAAGCACAGAAAACTTAGCCACTTGACACAGAAGTTGGGTTGCCCTTGGAGCGAATCTGCCCTCTCTTCCCAATCCATGAGTTACGTGTCTGGTACTTCATCTTGGTAACACCATGCCACAGCTCTTCAGTACAAGGCACCGTCTCCGACTCCACACCTCTGCACCCTCCCTTCACCACACTGAGAGTTCAGCAGGAGGCCCAGGAACACCTGACTCCCTCTTCCTTACCTCTCCTTCCAATCACGTTAAATACCACCATGTCATTCAGACTGGTATCTCTCTTATTCCATTTCATCCTCTAACAAATATTCCCAGGTGGTCAATGCCCATGGTGACCTTGGCCATGGGAAAGAAGAGATGGATTTCTGTTAGAATGTTGCTCAAGAAAGCTTCACAGGTGGGGTTTGTTACCAAGTCTACTTCTCAGCCTGCAGCATTTTTTACCAAGCTGTTAAAATGTTACCATGTCTTCCCGGTGCCTGTGCTGGTGCCACAGGAAATGGGGGAGTTCTGAGGACTGTTTTTCAACCTCAGGAGAAGTTCATGCCATTCCACGCCCTTGTCTCTCCTTGGCTGGGGCTTGTGTGCCTGTGTTAGTTTCCATGCCACATTGGTGTGTCTGCACAGACTCTGAGGAGCAGAACACATCATGGTGTGATCCACAACAGCTGGAGGAAGGCCTGCTGGGATGATCTTCAGGTCATTGGACAAAATGGGTACCAGGATCCATGCAGGCGTACACCTTCCGGATAGGTTAACGCCGGCGAGACCTCGGAGACACCAGACGCGTTTATCGGCTTTTCAGCTTTCACTTTATTTTTCAGCAGACTCGCGTTACATGTCGCGAACGCCCGCCCTGTTACCGGCATTCATTCACAACTCATTCATTCACAACTCCTTCATTCACAACTCCTGCTTACTACTCGCATTCATTCATAACTCCCGCCTGTTACCGGCGTTCATTCATAACTCCCGCCTGTTTCCGGCGTTCATTCACAACTCCGCCTGTTACCGGCGTTCATTCACAACTCCGCCTGTTACCGGCGTTCATTCATTCCTCCGTCTTTTACCAGCGTTCATTCACTCTCCGTCTTTTACCAGCGTTCATTCATTCACTCCCGCCCACCGTCCACCTATTTATATATATCATTCACGGAAAACATGTTACCAACTAAGTGTGGGAAACATGCAATAACAGGATGCTTAAAGTCAAAACAGGATCTTGCAATTAGCAACGGGCAGGGTGGAAAAAGCCCAGCACTAAACTTCTTGTCGGGAGCGGCACAGCTGGCCAGGCTGTCCCGTTCCCCGACATCTCCCCCTTATTTCTTTGCAAAATGGAGTGGTACTGTGCCTGTCTTAGGTGACCAAGAGCATCTATCAGGCTTACCCGTCATTGGCACATGAACATGAGGTGTGGAGGGAGCGTTCATGCCCTGTCTTAGGTTGCCTTGAAGACCTCTCAGAACTTACCCGTCTTTGACTACCATTCCAGCAGATTCAGCCACACCTGAATCTGTCCATTTTGCATGGGGTACTGGTTATTGAATATTAGCTGGCTTGTTTAACCACCATTTGCGTATTAACAGCCCTTGCAAGATCCGAACAATAATTGATCCTGTTATTAACATGCTACCCAAAAGACGGGAACACAAACTGCAGTAGATCGAATAACACAGGGTATGCCAACCAGGCCTAATCTTGCAATAAATCCGTTCATTAACAGCTGAATAGTAGTATACCATCAAGTGCCTGGGCGGTAGATCTTGTGATGCTATCAAGTGTGGACAGTGTGGAGGTTTGGCTCACGGCCATGCCAATAGCGGCCTAACAAGCTGATAACTCCGCAATTACTGCAACGACGACCACGGTGACTCCAAAGTCTCTCCTGTGTTGAACGGCCATAGAGAAGTCCTTCTCAGGCAAATACACAACTGGAGAGGGAGAGGTAGGGCTCTCAAGAGACCCCAATACTCATCCAGCTTGGCCATCGTCGGTGACAGTGGCGTCATTATTAGTAGGAGTAGGATCACGATCATCTTGCCACTCTATTGTTCTTGTCCGTCTTTCTGGAGTCCAGATTGGATTTTTTTCTTCCTGTGGGAGAAAACAAACAGCGCCTCGTACCCTTCTTATTAAAGGGTATGGGCCTTTCCATTTGTTATCTTGTGGGTCTTTCCACATAATCATTTTTCTAACGTGTGGCTGAACTTCTGTCGGTTCATAGGGTTTATTACTATTGGGGGTCTGTTCTGAGATTACATGACGTTCTGCCGGGGTGAGACCATCAGCTTTTTTATTTTAAAAATTTATGGTAAGTAAGGCGAGGTTGAGAATGTCTTTAGGGGAACGGGATAGTGCCCCTATTCCCCCTTTTTGTTTTAATACAAAGTTTTTCAGATACAGATTAGTGCGTTCCACAACGGCTTGTCCAGTAGGGTTATATGGGATGCCGGTTCAATGAGAGATATGAAAAGTTGCTAAAAACTCAGCAAAAACCTTAGAAGTATAAGCAGGTCCATTATCAGTTTTTATTATATTAGAAATTCCCCAAGAAGCAAAACATTGTAGCATATGTTGCATTACATGGGAAGTGGACTCTTTGGCGGCGGCGGTAGCCATAACTACTCCTGAGTAAGTATCCACTGTTACATCCATTTGCCAAATGTGACATGGATAAAGGCCCCGGGGTTACATCCATTTGCCAAATGTGACATAGATAAAGGCCCCGGGGATTAGCTCCAGTAGGCATAGTAACAGGCTGATGAATAACACATTTTTCGCAATTTTGGACAATAGATTTAGCTTTACGAATAGGGATATTAAACCTCATACTTAAGGTCTTACTATTAACATGCCAAAGTTTGTGATATTCTGTTGCCTGTTCCATGGCAGTGCAAGCTAAAAGGAAGCGGGAATGTTGATCGGCAAGGGCATTTCCCGCGGTGAGAGGACCTGGCAGGGAGGTATGTGCTCTAATATGGGTGATAAAAATGGGATCTGATCTCCTAAATAAAGCGTGCTGAACAAGCTCAAATAAGGAAACACTGTAGAACTTTTGGATATTAATGAAGGGGAGCCTAGCCTCTTAACAGCATTAACTACATATAAGCTATCAGAAACAATATTAAGAGGACCCTCAACCATATTTAATAACTTAGCCACTACAGCTAGCTCTGCATGTTGAGGTGAGGGAGATGCAGTAACTGCATGATGCACCTGACCTTGTAAAATAGCCACCCCGGTACCTCCTTTTGCTCCATCAGTAAAAGCTATGGGTGCTTTGGGAATGGGATTAGAATAAACTCTTTTAAAATAGTGTAAGGGTACCGTGTCGCAAAATCTAATAAAGGGATGATTGGGATAATGGTTATCTACACTTATGTCAAGGGTGATGGTGATGTGGGACCATTGCCAAGTTTCCTTAGCCCACTCCTGAATGACTACAGACTCTAACGGAAGAATGCAGGACTGTGGTCTTCTCCCTGCAATTTCTACCACTCGGTGGATGGCTTGTAAAACTAAATTTCCCATAGCCTCCGCATAGGAGGCAATAGATCTGGGCATATGGTTATGTGGGTATATAAACAACAATGGTCCTTCTTGCCAGAGTAAAGCATAGGGATAATGACTTTGTATGAACACCAAAATACTTAAGGGCATAGTGGGGTCACACCGCTGCATAGCGGTGCTCTTAAGACGCTGTTCAAAATTTTTTAATACTGCATTTGCCTCCTTTGTAAGTTGTCTGGGTGAATTTAGGCATGCATCGCCTTCCAGAAGTCGGAACAAAGGGTGCATTTCTTCAGTAGTCATTTTACAATAAGGCCGAATCCAGTTTAAATTTCCACACAATTTTTGTAAGTCATTTAAGGTTTTAACATGATGAGTGGAGATGATGGGGGTTAAAGAACTCTGCCCAATTTGGTTTCAGGCGCCGCGGTGGGTGGGGAGTTGAATCCCCAGTATTTATAAAAAAAAGCGGCTTCATCGTCATTACGAGCACTTTCGTTTTCAAGCATTTGCCTTCTAGTCTGTTTCTCCGGCCCAGACTCTAAAACTATGGGCCTCATCTCGCTGGAAGCATTGCCGGCAAAACAGCAACAGCACATAGGATGACGGGGTGGTTCGTAAGGAGGAGCGGAGGGCATTAAGGGCAACTCCGGGTATAGTGGAAGCGATCCCAGCGTCTGCGAATGTTTCGCTTTTGGTCGGGCTCCTCCGCTTTCTTCCATCCTTTGTTCCTCTATACTATCTCCTTTTTCGCTACTATCATGGGAGTCTTCGCTGAGCTCCTCCAGTAGTTCGGAGCCTTCATCTAAGAGTTCCCCGATCTGGTCATCCTCTGACCGTAAAGCAGTATCTATCAGATACCACAAGCGGATCACTCCCTCCTCGACTCCAGCGTTTCGCAATTCACGTCCCACCCGTCTCCACCGAACCTGTGATAAATCTCCTTCTTCAACAAACCAAGGACAAGTTTTATATAGTATCCTCATAAAATTGCACACAGCTACACTCTTTACGGGCGTCCCCGTTGCCTTTAAAAGGCGGCTAATCAATAAGTGCATTTTCGTGGTGGACTCTGTGTTCCCCATTGTACCGCGGTTTTCCTAGGCTTTTTCCCCTAGACTCCCGTCTATAGACGTTTTATTTCTTACCTTCTTTCCGCGTCGCAGTGATCCGAGTCACGGCACCAGTTGCAGGCGTACACTTTCCGGATAGGTTAACGCCGGCGAGACCTCGGAGACACCAGACGCGTTTATCGGCTTTTCAGCTTTCACTTTATTTTTCAGCAGACTCGCGTTACATGTCGCGAACGCCCGCCCTGTTACCGGCATTCATTCACAACTCATTCATTCACAACTCCTTCATTCACAACTCCTGCTTACTACTCGCATTCATTCATAACTCCCGCCTGTTACCGGCGTTCATTCATAACTCCCGCCTGTTTCCGGCGTTCATTCACAACTCCGCCTGTTACCGGCGTTCATTCACAACTCCGCCTGTTACCGGCGTTCATTCATTCCTCCGTCTTTTACCAGCGTTCATTCACTCTCCGTCTTTTACCAGCGTTCATTCATTCACTCCCGCCCACCGTCCACCTATTTATATATATCATTCACGGAAAACATGTTACCAACTAAGTGTGGGAAACATGCAATAACAGGATGCTTAAAGTCAAAACAGGATCTTGCAATTAGCAACGGGCAGGGTGGAAAAAGCCCAGCACTAAACTTCTTGTCGGGAGCGGCACAGCTGGCCAGGCTGTCCCGTTCCCCGACAGATCCAGAGGCGCCTTTCCAAGAAGTGGCATGAGGGAAAAACATACACTCTGCTGGCGCCGCGGCTCACTAGGCTAATCCTCTGCCTGCGGCGCCGGCACACCGGGTTCTAGTCCTGGTCAGGGCGCCGGATTCTGTCCCGGTTGCTCCTCTTCCAGGCCAGCTCTCTGCTGTGGCCAGGGAGTGCAGTGGAGGATGGCCCAAGTGCTTGGGCCCTGCACCCACATGGGAGACCAGGAGAAGCACCTGGCTCCTGCCTTCAGATCAGCGCAGTGCACCAGCCACAGCGGCCATTGGAGGGTGAACCAACGGAAAACGAAAATCTTTCTCTCTGTCTCTCTCTCACTGTCCACTCTGCCTGTCAAAAAAAAAAAAAAAAAAAAGAAAAGAAAAGAAAAGCATGCACTTCTATTCTCTTGGCCATTTTGCACACGCACAGATCTGCCCCAAAGGCAGGACAGGGCGAAACTAGCAAATCAGGAGCGGGGCCCACATGATGGGCCAAGTCACTTGCGTGGAGTTCCATGTCTGCAAAAGATCTCAGCTTGCATTCTGATGTTGTCCCCAGATGAGGTGAGACAAAGAATCCCCAAAAGAGAACAAAAAGAATTGAAAGGAGAAGCTCCTCTTATAGATCTGGTCTTGGGTCTTGTTGCAGACTTCATTTCTCTTAATAAATTACTATGTTTGGTAATTTTTAATAATTTTTTGAGTAATATAAATGCATTATCACATTAAACTTTCTGTTTGTGGGAACAGTGCAGTGGTTAAGTCACTACTTGGGATGCTCTCATTGCAAATCAGGGTACATGCATTCAAATCCTGCCTCTGCTTCCAATCCCAGCTTCCTGCTAACACGCACCTGGGAGGCAGCACATAATAGCCCAGGTAGTGGGGTCTCTGTCAATCACATGGGAAAGCCAGATCACACTATGGCCCAGTTTCACCTGTTGTGGGCATTTAGACAGTGAAGCAGTGAGTATAGGAGATCTCTGTTCCTATCTCTCTGTATCTAAATATTTCTCTCTCTCTTTCTCTCTCTCTTTCTCTCTCTCTCCCTCCTCCCCACCCCCCATCAAGTAACCAAAATAAGCTTTTTTTAAAAAAATAGTTTGATATAGAAGGGGGGTATTTGGCACAGCAGTTAAGATTCTGCTTGGGTTGCCCACATCCCATATTGGACTGTTTGGGTTCAAGGTCTGTCTCCACTCCTGACTCCTGCTTCTTGCTAATGCACACCCTGAGAGACAGCAGGTGCTGGATCAAGTGCTTTGGTCTCTGCCACCCACTTGGGAGAGTGGAAGGAATTCCCAGTTCTTGGCTTTGGCCTATGGCCCAGCCCTGCCTGTTGCAGGTGTTTAGGGAGTGAACCAGCAGATGGGAGATCTTTGTTTCTCTATCTACGTTTGTCTATCTCCCTGCATTCCAAAATGAATAAATGAAGATTTCTATTTGTGGAATGTAACAGATAAAATATGCCTTGCTAGCCCCCTGTCCCCTGGAGGGACCAGAGGCTACTGCACAAACATTGACTCAATAACTCCTGGGCGAGACTGGGGTCCCCCATGGTGTGGGCTACTGTCTTTATCTCTGTGGGGTCCATGGCAGAGTGCAGGCATTTATGAAATTTTATTCCTTTTATGCCTGAAGCTGCTAGTGCTGGAGTCACTCAACCTAGTGAGCTTAGGATCCCAGAGAGACTTTGAGCCAGTTGGGCTTTAGTTTTGGAGTGACTTTTTTTTAATTTATTTGACAGGTAGAGTTATAGACAGAGAGACAGAGAGAAAGGTCTTCCTTCCGTTGGTTCACTCCCCAAATAGCCACTACAGCTGGGGCTGGGCCAATCCGAAGCCAGGAGCCAGGAGCTTCTCCTGGTCTCCCATGCAGGTGCAGGGCCCAAGCATTTGGGCCATCCTCCACTGCACTCCCAGGCTACAGCAGAGAGCTGGACTGGAAGAGGAGAAACTGGGACTAGAGGCGGCACCCATATGGGATGCCAGCGCCGCCGGCGGAGGATTAACCAAGTGAGCCACAGCGCCGGCCCTTGGAGTAACTTCTAATAGCATACTTTTCTCATAGGCCACGACAGAATTGTACTGCAATCAATCAGACCCTCTAGCCGATGCTCCAAATGTGTGTGCTTTCAAGTTTACCAGGAAACTCCTTGGGATCCCTTGCAAATCGATCCTAGCCCCTCACAGACCTCAGCACAGTCCCTCGCCCTCCCATAACCACCTGAGCTCTGCCATGGACCCGTGAGATTCAGACGGGAGCCTGCCTCACCAAGGAGGCATTTCATAAATATTTGTATTTGTTCAACAAATATTTGTATTTGTATTTGTAAAATAAATCTCTGAGTTACATGGAACTTGGACTCTCTGGTTAACGTTTCACTTACTGTCAGCCCAAAGGGTGTGCCTCTTGCATCCAGGTTGGGAATAGCAGGGACTGGCCAGACAGGGTGGCAGGAGTCAATCCTGGTCTTTTTGTGTCTCCAAGGGGAGATTCCTTGGCCCAGTGTTGCTGTGCTGGGCCATGGCTGTTAGTGCACCCAGGGTTCGAGGATCCCCTGGGGAACTCACAAAACCACAGACTCCCGAGTCCCACTCCCAAAAATCCATTTCCATGAGTCTGGGGTCCACAGCCCAGGTTGTTCTTGGAGCTCCCAAGGTGACCTCACGCACCTGGGGTCTCTCAGAACCACTACAGAGCAAACACAAAAACACAGGGATCATTGGTACACAGTAATACATTAGTGGTTATATATTAATCATTACTAGTGGTAATAGTAATAGTACTATACTTCTATTACTTATATTACTATTATCACTATCATTTTTACCAATAACAATTTTCAACTCATCAATATGTCAATGTTGAGCTTTTCAGTGTTCTTTGTAGTTTTTCAAATAATAAAGATGTACATAGCAGTGAGATGTAATTAATGCCCCTCCTGTAAACCCACCCCTCAATCAGGAATGAATATTTTGAATGTAGTGCTTATTCATTCAAACTTTTCTCATAGATACAAATACTGCTGACTACAACACCTTGAAATGCAGTGTTGGGGCCAGCGCTGTGGCATAGTGGGTAAAGCAGCCACCTGCAGTGTTGGCATCCTGTAAGGGCATAGGTTCAAGTCCAGGCTGCTCCACTTCCAATCCAGCTCTCTGCTATGGCCTGGGAAAGCAGTAGAAGATGGCCCAAGTCCTTGGGCCCCTGCACCCATGTGGGGGACCCGGAAGAAGCTCCCGGCTCCTGGCTTCAGATTGGTACATCTCTGGCTGTTGCAGCCAATTGGGGATTAAACCAACAGATGGAAGACCTCTCTTTCTGCCTCTGCCTCTCTGTAACACTGCCTTTCAAAGAAATAAATAAATCTTTAAAAAGAAAGAAAGAAAGAAATGCAGTGTCTTTCTCTCCAGCATTGCCTTGAACATAGCCATTCTCCTGTTGTCTGGAGACAGAAGACTGCCTTGGTTCTGGGTTAGTCTGCTGGGAAGAAGAAATTCCAACCAGGGATGAACGATACACTCAGAGGCCTATGGCCTGGCACAGGCGTGGGGCTAGTGTTAGGAAAAGAGGCACAGAACAGAGAGGAGGCAGGGTACGAATCGACAGCCAGACTGAATTTATTCAGAGGAAATAAGTCCACAGAGGTGGGTGACCAGCTGCTGGAGTGCACAAACTGGACCCAGCGGCCAGGCCTTCTTATGTCTTAGGTGGGCTAGGGGTGGGGGTGGAGGTAAGGAGCAGCAGTTGGAGGTGAATTCCTACATACTGGTCTTTCAAGTGGCCATAGGGCCTCTGAACCTGGGGAAGAACATAGGGGTGGGGTGTAAAGACAATAGACTGTGAGACCCAGCTGAGATTCAGGGACAAGGGATAAATTCTGATATTTATCTATCTTTTGGGCAATGAGCGAGGAATGGCTTGAGGCTTATGTCTGTATGCCATCAGGCAGGCCATCAAGTTGGCAGTCATTCATTAAGAACTCATTCTTAAGCACCTATTGTGGGCCTGGCACCATTCCAAGTGCTGGAGAAGCTGCAGTGGACTGGAACCCTGTCTCTAACAGCTTTCCTTTGAGCGGGGTCTGCATTCAGGGAACAAGTGTTTCTCGGAAATACGTTAGACTTGAGCAGGCAGTAGGCGCAGGGGTAAAGAATTTGCCTAGGGCCTGGCACCGTGGGGCAGTAGGTTAATCCTCCGCCTATGGCACCAGCATCCCATATGGGCACCGGTTCGAGTCCCCATATGGGCACCAGTTCGAGTCCTGGCTGCTCCACTTACAATCCAGTTTTTTCTGCGGCTTGGGAAAGCAGTAGAAGATGGCCCAATTCCTTCTTCCCCTGCACCCTTGTGGGAGACCCGGAAGAAGCTCCTGGCTCCTGGTTTTGGATCGGCTCAGTTCTGGCCGTAGTGACCATTTGGGGAGTGAACCAATGGATGGAAGA